AGAATATGCTCTTGTTTCTTGCATAGAACATGCTTTCAATTAACATCATGCATCGGTTGTTTATCTTGCATGGAACATGCATTGTCAATATGTTGCTTTGTAAACCAATCATTCTATGTATCCACCGCACAATAATCTCGCCTCTGTGCATCTATCGTGCGATAATCTCACTTTATGCATCAATCGCACAATCAATCACTATGTGCATCATCGCACAAATCACTGCATGCATACCTCACAATTTCAAAAACTCACTCGCACTATTTAGTGCATTTCAAACTCAATCGCACTATCTAGTGCATTTCAACTAATCGCACTGTCTTATGCATTTCAACTCAATCGCACTATCTTGCGTGTCACACTATCTTGTGCATTTTGCATCGCACTATCTTGTGCATTTCACCTTCACATTATTGCTATTTAATGCCAAAATTCTGGCTTCATCTATGCCTTCTAATTCTAAGCACATACTTTGATGGTATTGTTCAGGATTCAATTGATCTTGACATCTTACTCTCAAAGATTTAACATTAATCTCTACTGGTAAGACTGCATCATGTCCATACACCAAGGCATAGGGAGTGACTCCTGTGCTTGACCTCGGAAATGTATATCAATGCATTAAAGGTTGTACTCAATTAGAATTGTCAGTTCAGTAATCAATAATCAAACTATAAGTTTTATCGACCATTAGAAGGAAAATTTTATTAGGAAAAAGTGGATGAATCACCAATGAAAATCATATAAGAAACCAAGTTTAGGACTTGATAATTCTACGGCATTAAGAAAGTTGAGAAATACTTAAAAATAAGGATCCTAGTGTCATAGAGAATATAATGGTGCTCCTGTAAAAGTTACAAAGTTGGTATATAAAAAAAAATAATAATAATAATTAAAGTGCGGGCGGTTTTTGCGGGTTGCGGGTTTAAACCGTGACCCGCCCGCAACCCGCTAATTTGTCATATTTCAAACCGCATCCGCCCGCATTATGTTTGCGAAACCGCCCATTTATATGCGGGTTGGGCGGATTGGGCGGTTTGAACGGTTCGGATAAACCGTTGCCCACCCCTAGTGATGGGTATGGCCCTGGTGAAATAGTGTTAGTGTGGGTGTGGGTGTGTATAATGAGTCCGGATCCTCTCATTGAGGAGGCTCCTCCATTCCCTGCTTGCAACGGCTCAAATGAGCCGTTGGTCATCCAACGGTTGAGATTATAAAAAAAAAAAAAATCAAAAATGAAATTTCGAACATCTCCCGCCCAAGACAAAACACACAGCTCTCAACGCCCAAAACACAGCTCACACAGCCTACACTCACCCATTCCCTCTGTCGAACCCACCCTCACCGACGACCCAATACCGGCGGCGACCCACATCGACGTCGTTGCAGATCCGACGACGGTAACCCAGTCTCAAATCCGGACTCATGCAACACACCCACCGAGCCATCACACTGTTCTGCAAAATCGATAATAATTATAAGCCGATCTTTGTCACCATTATAATCGAGAAATCGTAGCCATAAATTCCTAATCCTGTCTCTCTATATATATAGGTGTATGAGTGACCATTGATCTCTCTTGCTCCTCTTCTCTGTTTTTAGACCAAGAACTCTGCAAAAGGGTTTTGTGGAAAGGTGAGTTATGGATAGAAGATTTATGTCGGCAGAGTCTGAATCGGCGTTGATTGGGGCTCAGTTGAAGCTCTGGATTTCATTCACTTCTGTGTTCTTAGCTTTGTGCTTGCAACAACTCTGCTGTCTTTACCAGCAGAGAACCAATCTCTGTTTCCCAACTGTTTCGATGCGTTTGAGGCCAAAGAGGTACAATTTTTTCTTAAACCCTTTTTGTTTTTTGCATATATTTCAAGCTTTTGTGTGTTTTTTGATGGTTTTGTGGACTGATCTGAACTGGGTTTTTGTGTTTGTGATTTGCAGGACTTGTTCTGGAGTAGAGTGTTTTGGGGGTTTTCACATAAAACAAAGAGAATCCGAATAATCTGTTACGATCCGTATGCAACAGATTCGCTGTTTATCGATGATTTTGGACATCTGTTTGATGATTTTGGGAGTCTTGATGATCTTCAAATCTTTGGGTTTGAAGACAATGAACCAAGTGATCTTCCTGATTTTGATTTTGAGCTTGGAAATGAAGAGTTTGCTTGGATGGATGGACCCCTCAATATAGCATGCCTATAAGTTTTGCAGCTAGTAGAAACGAGTGTTGGTATTATGATTATATTATATAGTTTTAGGGAGAGAAATGCACATATCAAGAACATTTGATTAAGTTCTTGAGAGTGGTTTTGTTTATTTGTTTGTTTGTTTGTTTATTAATATAGAAAGAGATGAGTGAGCTTGATTCATTTGTACGGGAGAGAGAGAAAGTCCTTTGGTTTTTCATGTGCTATTAAAACAAATTCTTTAATATTAATATAATTCTGGTTCTGCTGGTATGCTTCTGATCTGGTATGAATTCTGGTAAATTTTAATTCTGGTTCTGGTTCTGTAGATGGACATGGTTTTGCAATGGTTTTGCAATGGTTACAGTTTATTTATATTTTGCAATGGTTCTGCAATGGTTACAGATTATGTCCAGTTTTGTGATCAAATTTTGTGCCCATAGAGAATTGGAATTCAAAATCTGGAAACTTGGTTGCTGGTTGTGTTATTCAGATGCTGCTAACCATTCACAAATTAAACCAGAAAGCAAGCAAAAGGCCATTTTGATTAATAATAATAAAAATAAAAAAAAGTAATTACAAGAGTAACTCACATTCTCATATTCTCTGTATTCAACTACATATAATCCAAAAAATGGCTTCAAATCAAAGCAAATAAATCAATAAACTCTCTTAACATAAATTAAAAATACCCATTACACCCTCTTTCAAAAGAACACAACCAGCCCACTAGCAACTGCCAAAACCAACCGACTCCAAACACCCAAGTCCACAATCCTTCTTCGGTGTTGTTGGCTTGGTTTTGGAAGGTTTCAATGGTTTTGGTGGACTCAAGGTAACTGAGGAAGGTTTGGAAAGGGCCTGCGACGGAGAGTAAGTCAGTGAGGTGGTGCTGGTGCAGGCGCCGGAGTCGGGGCTAGTCATGGAGGTGCAGCAGTCTGGGCATGTGTTGATGGAGAACACAGAAGGGCCAGTGTGGTGCTAACCATGAAAATCACGGTGAAATCCATTTTTTTCCCCAAATTTTTTGGATTTATGTTTTTCTGATGGACTCAAGGCTGTGTGAGCTGTGTTTTGTTTGGGCGTTGATAGGTGTGTTTTGTTTGGGTGGGAGTTTTTTTTTTTTTTTTTTTTTTTTTTTTTATAATCTCAGCCGTTGGATGACCAACGGCTCATCTGAGCCGTTGCAAGCAGGGAATGGAGGACCCTCCTCAAGGAGAGGATCCGGACTCGTGTATAATATCGCATGGGGGCAAAATTTTCATCATGAAAGGTATAGTTGACCTTTTACTCTTTGCCTTTGGGCTTCGGTTGAAATCTTGATGATAATAGTGCATTTGATTTGATTTGTACTACAATAGAAGCAGCTTTTAATAACATGTGTTCACATCATTTTTCCCCCAAAACGCTTTAATTTATTAACGTCCATAGCATTTTTTTTTCAAAAGCTATCAAAAATTATAAGTAATAGAAATATTTTCTTATTAACCTGTTAACCCAACATATTTTCCCATTTTTAAAAAAAATAATGTGAAAACTTCTCCCACACAACAATCTCTGTCAATTTCAAATCTTCAAATATTTCTCCCTCTATCTTTCACGATTTGCTAAGATTGCTCTCCCCAAGTCTTCTATGGTTCCATTTTTGTTTTTCTTCAATTCAAAAGGTTTGTTTATTCTTTTTGCCTTTTTTTTCATATAATATTTACGTGTATCAAGATTGACCTTTACTCTCTTGTTTGTTGTTTCTATGTTTACCCCCTCCCTATTTGGTGAAGAAACATTGCCATATTGTTGCGTATTTCATGGTTGAAGGGTCATTTCATTATCTTGTGTGGAGAATCCTCAGCTCACTAGGTTTGAGTTGTTATGTTTGAAAAAATTTCCTTCTCAAGACCTGCATTTCAATTCTCCTTCATTACAATGTAAAATTGATTTTTTTTTTTATTTTTTTTATTTTTCGTTTTTTGAAGGTATTCTATGGCTTAATATTGATTTCTTCTGTATTGTTATGCATGAGGTATTAAGATACAGTGGCCCATGTTTGCAAACTATGTTTGATTTCCTCCAATTTGTTTTAATATCATTGAAAGTAGCTGATCATTGTGAACCACATGCCACTGCCACTATTTTTCCTAGATTACAAAAAAAGTGATTCATTAGGGCTCTAATTTGATGATGCTAAATTTTTGTAAAGAATTTTGCAAAGTATTTTGATGAAATGTTATGGCAACACTTGATAATCTAAATGTCATTGGAATTGTGCATCTATTTCTTTGACAATTGTGTAGGTTCTAATTAGAAATTTCATTATTTATTGTTTTATTTCATTTCTACGTACACATCCTATTGACTTTGGCAATTAGATTTTGTTACACTTGGAGGCCTTCATTATCAATTCTTCAATTGCTAGATTTTAAGAGTTCTATTTAATCATGACAAGTTATCAGGAAGTTTATGTTTTAGAATTTTGAATTGTAGTAATTGACTTGAAGTGAGATAGTGTCTGCTTCCCACACTTGAATATGCTTTAGTAATTACATGATTATTATTATTACTATTATTATTAAAATAAAAATGCTGCTGCTTCTAATAGATCTATATCAATGTTAGTTTTCAAAAACCATTTAGCTTCTTCACTACTTAGTTGTATCCAAAATGTGAAATCAAAAATCACATTGACATTGGTAGAGGATTAAAAGAGATTGAATATATTTCCATCAAACCTTTTGATTTGGATATTATTTTTATGAATTGGTAATACCAGAAACAAGCTACATTGCGGTATTATGATGATAGACAAAGATTGGGTGCATCTTAATTGAAAACACTTTTTTTTTCTTTTCTTTTTTGTGTTTTTTTCTTGTAAATTGGTTGAGCCACACAATTACATGGCAACCACAATTACATGGCAACCATACGAAATTTTGTGAATGTGGCTACAAGAATGCAGAGTATCCTTACCAGATTCTATGTATTTGCAAAGATTGTCAACATTCATTTCACCATTTTGTTGAATTTGTTTGAGCACGAGGTTATTAAGGGAATGGTTCTTAGTACATAAATATATTAAGAATGAACAGGTAAATTCACGGCTTGGGAATTTATGAGCTTCCTTTCCTATTAACACTTTTTGATTCAAAGTTTTTCATTGACCTTGTTACTTTGTTTTCTGCTTAACTAACAATATTCATTTCCTGTTTACTGATTAATCATTAGTTTTGAAATCATTAGTTTTGAAATTACTAATCCTATTGATTGTTGAATTATATTGGGTGTGAGATTCAGATCATCTCCATTACATAGTTGTAATGGAAGATTTCCAATCCCTATGTCTAACCCCTTTATATTGTCTAGGGATTTAATTTACTTTCTGCAGTTGATGCCTTTGGAAAGAAGTGGAGACTAAACTTATTAGATAAGAAAGCTTGAAGAATGGAAAGTTTGTGGATGAAAAAATGGTGCATTTGAATGAATTGGTTATTTTCTATAGTACATGGTTACATTGTCTTTAGCATTGTTTATAAGTTGTGTTATGTGGATAATGGAGATTACAAATCCAGCACACTTCTATTTATAGATTGTCGATAAGCATTTCTTTTTGTAAGTTTTGTTTTAATCTTCTTTTCAAGTAGTTTTAGCCTATTTGTATGAATTATTTTCCCAGTGTTCATTCTTCTATGACACTCGGCTATTTACATTTTCCAAGTAGGCTTATATCTATGCATCCATCTTTCCAGATTTCTGTAAATTAAATTTTTCTTGTAATGGGCACCAATAAACGCCAATAATGGGCATTTGTTAGCGTGCCTTGCACGCGGTCAATTCACTAGTATATATATATATATATATTTCTTCTGAAGAAGTGGCAGATTTAGGGCTCACAGATCTACCGAAATAAAAGAAAAGCTAGCAAAAATCAACAATAACAACTAGCAACAAACCAGAATCAAGGGCAAATCGAAAACTTACCAGTGTCGGGCCTGAAAGATAAGGTACACCGCCGAAAAAGGGGATGACCAAAAAAAAGAAAAACACTGCTGGAGCTACCGGAGTGTGCAAAAACAATTTCTAAATTTTTGAAACAACTTTGATGATTGCTAAAAAGCATGTATTTTTCTGAAAATTTCCAAAACAGCTCATAGAACAAGTATTATCCGAAAATGAAAACCCAACAAAATAATTCCAAAACATCAAAACCCACCAAAGGAAAAAACATAACAAGAAACAAAAATCAAAATAATATCTTGAAACGCTTTGAGAACCAAATCCAGGAACAGAAACATTCACAAATCTTAAATGTAAAAAAATTAAATAAAACCCATATCAAAAATAGAATAACAAAGGGAAAAGATTGAGAATCTACAATTTTATGGACAACTCCAGTTTTTTGGTTGAATACAGTGGGTAACCCATAAGCAATTGACTTTCAATGGAAGTTGTGCAAGTGTATTGGTAAGCAAGATAGTTCTGTGTGCAAATGTAGAGGTGATATACAAATTGCATCATGTCCAGACCATAACCCAATTCCATATATATATATATATATATATGTATGTATGTATGTGTGTGTTGAACTGATGCTCAATTCCAGGGTCTTTCCTTTTGTTAGTAATGGGCGCTTATGTGGCATGACCATTTGAATTTGAATTTGAATCTTATCCAAATAGGTTTTGAAATTGAATTCAAACCTATTTAGGATAACTACTCAGGATATAGATATTATCTCCATTAACTAATATGGATAGATAATAATATTATATTATATATCTGGTATATGGGTTATGGGTGATGAAGAACCCTCCAATCCGTCATCTGTCCGCCGGATTGGTAGATTGGAAAAAATCAATCCACATCCGTCCGCCGAATTGACGGATACAGATTGAATAGATTGGCTGATGGATGCGAATCGATTTGGCGGTTTAAATTTTTACAAATTTTGAACATAATACAACAATTTGTCAATTATTTTTTTGAATAATAATTCAACTCAACATAACTAAAAATTATCAAGTAAATTGTCAAATACTAATAATAATAATAAAATATATATATATATATATAAAAACATACATTATCACAACTATTTGATTACTTCTTTATTCAAAAATTATTTAATTTGATTTTTTTTTAAATGACAAAATTAAGCTTTATATTTTCACACAAAAATACAAAATATCAACACTTGCCATTTGATGAAAAGATTTTCAAATTGAAAACAAATTAAAAATACAACAGAATATCTAAACTCTTTTTCAATTGAAAACACAAAT